TCTAATTCGTCTTTAGGCTAAAATCTGAATGTGTGTACTGTGTGTGCCTAGTATTTTTTTTGCGTTAAGTGTTGCTAGATAATGTTCGTGCACTTCGCATTTTTGAATATCTAATATACAGACAAATCGATGATAGCTCTGCGGAGTTTTAATTCTAATTATTCTCTTTTAATAAATCTCTTTTGTTAAAAAGCAGCAGGATGTATCTAATTCAACTTTAATTTAATATGCGCAGATTACCTGATAATTGCTTACTTTGACGATTCATTTCATTTCCTTTCAATGTAGCACTTATTCTCCAACATACTAATGGCCAGAACTCGTACGCCAAACTGATGTCTTTATACAGTTACTATTTATCTAAGCATGAAGATACTTTACATTAAATTTTTATGACAAAACGTCGTTACTTTAAAGATTTCTAATATTGTCTTTTAAATATCAAATAAAACGTAAAACTTAATTTCAGTTTGAATTTTAGTTGAGTTATTAGTCCTCTACTCTTTTAATTGTTTCTTAAGCACTGAACCGGACCCAATTTCATAGTTACCCATACTTACCCTCATGCGATAAATACATTTTTTTAACCTTAGCTCGAAAAATCTCCTGCTTTTTCTGCAATTCATCAAAGTTTAAGGCTTGTGAAGATCCCTTTCCAAAAAGAGATGTGGCTTCGCCTCTACTACCCACAGTTGATTGCTACGAAGACTGTTTTAAGTGGTTGTACATTGACCTACGTGAGTAAAATTAATTCTTTTATAATTATTTGCGTTTAAAGCCATTTTTTTGTCTTGTAAAGATTTTTATGCAGGCACTTATGCTTGCTTAGTGGCTGTGTAAAGCGTTGTTATGCACTCCAATTTTATCGAGGTTTGAAAGTTTTTTTTCTCGTAATTTTAAATCCAGTCGATTGCTGCTTTGGTTATCTCAACCCACCGCGAAGCTTTCGTAAAATCACTGAATCGCATCATATGTAATTATTTTTAAGTAAATATCGAGAAAATTAAAATGTTGAATAAAACTGTTTAGCTTACGCCTGATTTATGAAAGTGCTCCGCTCGAAGCAAAGAACACATAATGTGATTTCGATACTCAATTTAATTTATAGACTGTTTAACCTTGATGTCCTTCTGCTCGACCATTTAGGTGCCTTGTTGGCAAACTGGGATGAGGAATCTTTTAATTGTCCAATAAAACCCATGTGCTAAAAGGTGGTCATTTCTTAACATTTTGGGCAAGTTAAGTAAGGTAAAGCATAAAATGTTGGAAAAACTATCCTTTCTACTTTGATTTAGGACTATTTCTGTTATTTTGCTTTATTTATTTTTGGCGTCACTGTCCAAAACCTTTGCATATGCGCTCACAGAACCTTCTTCGTTATTACTTTTATGTGCCACGAATGTCCACGTAACATTTAAACCTTCAAAAATTGCCAGTTTATGTAGAGATGTGTTAATTATTTTTGCTTTTGTTGGCTTGGATGTTTATGAGGCAAAGTCAGCATGTTCTGAAAATCTTGTCTATGTTTATGTATCTTTGATTTGTAGACATTCATTTTGTAGATTAGTATGTTTTGGGCTTTTTCCACGATAACAAACCCTTTTAGATTCTAATAACTACTATCATAACATATCCTTTATGTTCCTTGGTGGCTCAAGCATTTAAGATCAATTTTTAATACCTTTTTTTAAAAAAAAAATGCTAAGTATGCCGTTTATTGAGGTTTGTTCGAGGCGGTTCATTGAATTAAATCCTTTGCTTTGGAGTTGCCATTACACAGCTCACTGTATTGCTATGATGCCATGTTATCAGCGACGCAACATCCGCATAGTCTTTAATTATTTTACGTCAACCTCGTGAATATTATGCTCGTAGCATAAAATATTTCACAAAGGCTTAGCTGTTGTTAATAATGTCAGTCTTCTTTCATGAGCTTTGGCGTGGGTCTTTAAAAGCCAAGGAAGACCTAATTGTCTGTACTGCTTGGTTAGAAATTAGCCGTTGAGCAACGATGTAGTATTTTTTGCGGGTACTAGTAATTGACTTTGACGGCCCTTCTAGAGTTAAATTCACGTGCGATTTTTAGTTAAGGCATTGCAAAACCGGTGAAATTAAAGAAAATATGAAATTTTTGTGTGCTCTGTTCCAAATAAGTACTTATTAGTGGAAGCACGATTTTGTTGCAGTCCTTATCACGGTGTTTCTGTTGGAAGAAAGTTAGCATTAAGTAATCTACTGACATATTTGATAAGTTGTTTAGTTTATCCACTGCCCACCGTTGCACTTTCTATGACCATAATAATAGTGAATGTGGTTCCAGGGGAAAGCCACTGCTGGAATTTCCTTTTGCTCACCAAGCAGCAGAAAAGTAGCTCTCAATCATAGGTTTTCTTCAAAAGGGTCAATTTTAATTTTTTACTGATGCAAATTACCTTCAGCTGCGTACCCATGCATGTTAGTGCGTTTACATTTCTGTTTGGTAAATTACTTAAAGTGGACTGATTCTGGTACGAGTAACGAGACACCATCCATTGGTAAGTGTTTCACCTTCATAACTGCATCTCTACTTAAATATTACTCTCTTGGTGCCTCACCGAACTGGTGATTGCAGCACTCCAAGATGGAGATCTCCGTGATTCAAATCTTTAAAATTCAATGACCTTAACTCAGTAGTTATTGAGGTTCCGAAGTAGATCGGAGTTCCGTATCAGGACAGCAACGGACCTGTTAAGGCTCAGTGTTTATACCCAGGAAGATGAGAAGACCAGTGTGGCCAGTGTGGATTTAGCCTTTTACCAGTTGACTAAATCAAATCATTTGAGGGTACAAGGTCGTGAACACCTATAGATCACAAACTTACACAAGGAAAGCAGTGACTATTTGTGGTCTTAACACAAATCGAGTGACAGACAGGGAACCAAGTAATGCGTTGCTAACGTACGGGATGTGGGTGGAAAAAATAAAGTACAGGATTAACAGCGCGTTTTATATTAAAGACAACTCACATTTCGATCGACCAAAGATGTTGGTCTGAACTTACGCATTTGTGTATAAAACTTGAGAGAATTTTGCAGTAATATATGAGTCTTACTTTCCAGTTGATTAAGACTACTAGTTCCTAACCTTTGATTTTACCTAAATTCTTTCTGATAATCTTTTTTTGTATTTTGGCCCTTAATTATCATTTGCTAATTTCAACTCACCATTAGAGAATTCTCATAAAGGTATTTTTTTACATTAGTGTTTCTATCATCGACATATTAGCTATTCCTTTGATTCCAGCCACTTCTTCTCAATGAGATATGTCGAGTTTTGATGCATAGCATCGGGTAGGCCAGTGGATTACACACAAGAATATTGATATCTTTGTTCATTTTAGTGCATTGTAATATTTTGCGTTTTAGAACAGAAACACCAGTTAATTCGTGGCTGTTCCTCCCAGCTTAGCCTTCAAATCGACCGTCATTTGATATGCATGTATGAATCCAAAAACCGTGGTGGATACATTTGCTTCTGTTCGGCGGAAAAGTGCAATGCAGCCAGTTTTCCTCACGTCCCGTTTTGGACATTCGCAAGTATTTATGGGACCTCCCTCCTGTTCCGGTGGATTACATAAGCTGAGCAGATGCCTAGCCTGCTCAAGTGTTTTCCAGTTGTGGGTGCTTTTCTGTACAGACAGCCTTGCTCGCGTGTTTATCATGCGACATTTTCTATGTGAATATTCATGAAGAAAATGCCTGTTTTTATTTTCCATTAGAGTGCTTGGATTTTTTGGGTGCATACATTTCGTGTAGGTGTTCAGTTTAGACATGATGCGAGTCTCCTCAAAAATTTACTCAAATTAATTAAGGCTGTTCTCTCTAAAAGGCGAATTCCTAAGCATTTGGGTGAAGAGTACATTGTTTTCTTTACCTGACAAAATAAGCAACAGCTTCCTTATTGAATCACTTGGTCAACGAAAATGCGCAGATGACCACTCTGGCTGATAGACTACAATATTTCTTCCTTTTTAAGGCTTTAAACATTCACGCATAAATTAAATTTTTTTATTTCCCAGTAGTTGGTGTGGTAAATCAAAATTATATTATTTTAAAAGGAATCAGAATTCTAACATCACTCATTGTCAGTAATTGTCTCAAACTGCTTACATTGGTTTTGCCACCTCTCTATGTGCGTGAATTCAAGATGATGCGGTTTAGACGCGTGATGTCCTTGTGATTGAACGATGCGAAGCCTTTAATCACCTCGCTGTTACCGCAACTATACATTCTATCTAAAGAGGAGTAAATTTGGGGAGCTGTGCTATTTGCAAGTCCTGATTTGAAAATAACAATCATGCAAAAACCACAGGACTTGTGTGTTTCCCTCTTAATAGAATTAAAGCTCTGGTTAAAATCATTATTACACCTATCCAGACCAGTTGGTTTCAACAAGCATCTTTTGACAAAAACCATGGAGGTAGAGTTTGGTCGGCGTGTCCAACTGCAAATGAATCCGAGCTTCGTTAATAAAACTGTTTCTCTAATTTAAAAATGTGCATTTTGGAACTTAACATGGCTCATCAGATCAGTGTTTTTTTCTTCTGTCAATGAGGTGGCTTAGCAGTGGCTTGAAGATGGGACAACAGTATCGTGAATGCTTACATGAGCATGTGGGCTGTTTTGTTCTGCGCGTAGTACAGACACGTGCGCGAATGAGGAAGGACAGGCACGAGCGCGTCTCGTTCGCCATCGATTACGAACGTCAACGCACGCACGCTCTTATGCGACCATGTTCGGCCACAGCCACAAGCGTGGTTGCTGCATTGGGAACGCCTACTCAGACGGGCCAATCACGGCGCTCGCTCCTAACAATCGATCAGCCTTGAGCGAGGAGCGTAACTCCTGCATGTGTGGGTAAACATTCACTAGATGCGAGGATTGAACGAAAAACCTACTCCTCTATATGCCACATTTCGGGAGGGCAAGTCCGTTGTTCTTTTCCACCCTCAAATCAACTGAATGGGCACCACTCACTCCCAGCACTCTTCATCCGTTCGGGTTTCGCCTGTTTGTGGCTATTCAAAGCACCTCGTGAACACGAGGATTAATCCTACCATCCATAGTGAAGGGCCCAGCACGGAGATTGTCCACGTTACCACGGGTTCAGAGCCCCATCTTGCCGGCCTTTCTGTACGTTCGACCCACAGACAAGCAGAAAGCAATTTGAATAGCCGACAGAACAGCCGCCGAAAGGACTTTGGCTTGAAGTCTGAAGCAGGTCGATTAAGCGCTAATGGCGTTCTCTTCGACCCAGGGCTTATGGAAAATGGGACGTGGACAAGAAGTACATCAAAGAAAAAATTACGCCCTAGGGCGCTAAAGCAAACCTCACACAACTCGACCAACTCCTCCTATATTGCAGACTGCAGCCCAGACAGGAATAGTGCTTGGCAGGATGACTTCAGTTCTTCAGGTCATACTGCTTATATTGCTGTTAATGAACATCGGTTAAGGTTAGGCCTGAGTCGTCTTTCCTCCATCGATGCAACCCGCAGTGCCAACGGGCACGTGAATGCACCCCAGTCACCCTCCCAATGGGACCTTCATCGTTATGGGGACAAGAGGTCAGATCTATCAGGACTTGATCATGTTCCTTCCCGTCTCGCTCACCGTCGCCATCTCTCAGAGCTTTGTCTTCACCTGGACGAACTCAACAACACTAATTCGAATGGGAACCACATTCGAATCAGACCCCGTTCCCCACATAAATCCCACCCTCCCTCAGCCCACAATTACGCTCCAGCATTCGACTTCGGAGCACAGACAGCTCACGTCGAACCGCTCTTTCGAATGGCAACCACAACCACCTCGATATATACTTCAAAATCAATGATCGAATCACCCTCGTGTCAGGCCACACCTGCTCAGTCCGTCCATTGCGCCAATCAATTGATCGCATCTAACTTTCTTCGTTCTCCTCTTGGCAGTGAAGTCGACTTGATCAGTCGAGGAAATGACAATTGTGATGATACCCTCGATAATTACCATGATTACGCCAATCTTCCTCAATCACGAACAAGGTCGTTCAAACTGCAGAGGCAACAACCGGCAATGGCAACAAAGCTGAAGACAGAAGGAGCGTATGAGGATAATGGAAGGATCCCGCTTCCTAGTCGACGCCTCTCGAAATCACGATGGCGGTTCATGTCTCGGGGAAAGAATCTAACTAAGTCAATATCTTGTTATGCTCTTAAATTTTTCGGACAGCAGAATAGGACCTATGATGTTCCCGATCCACAAATGGTTAGTGGAAATCAATGTGCTCCACCAGCTACTGGTCTTCCTCCCCCACAACGTCAACCCACCTTAGCCGTGGTAAAAAGGAGAAAGGGCGACGCGTTAGTAATGCAGAGGGACACCTCCAACCAGGTCAGTGAGGAGCTTGGACAGAATCTTCAGCGAGTTTTGCGCTTGGAGTTGTCGGAGAACACAGACAATGCCCCTAGACTGTCGCATATTGTCTCTCTTCAGGCAAAAATGAACCGTAGTCTGAGTGCCTTTGGCAATCAGGATACAACCAGCGAGTTGAGCCACGCAACCAGACGAGCGACCTACCATCAACCAAGAGACGGCTTCAGGAGAAGTAAGCTTCAACTTCTGCAAACGACTAGTACCAAGGAATTGCTCCATTGTCTTTCCATTTTTATTCTCCAGCACTGTGATAATTTGTGTGGTCTTCATACAGTTGATTCGCCACTTTATCCTGAGGAAATAGCCTCGTGGATTCGGGATATTGACAGAGCGTTAATTCAACAAGGCTGGACTGATGTACCTTTCTTGAGTCCAGCAAACGTGGTCTTTCTTTTCATTATGATTAAAGGGTTTGTTGACTCGAGCATAACTTGCAGTCGGGAACTGCATTCGATTGTTATGGTCTGCCTTTATCTATCATATGGATATATGGGAAACGAGATTAGTTACCCTCTAAAACCCTTTCTCAACTCAGAGATTCTCTACAGCATGCTGCACGAAAACGATCCCCAAAAGTTTCGGATCATCAATGCTGCCGATCCTTTGTCCTCCAAGAATCCAAAAGTGATTAACCGATATCGGGACGCCTTTTGGGAGACCTGTGTTCGCGTTTTAAAGTGCAAAAGTAAAGATATGCTTCAGCTCAACTCAGACGCCATTTTCTTTACCCAGAGTGTCGCAGAATTGCGCTCATACGCCTCCTCGTCCGAGCTGAAACCGCCCTCAGCGACATAACAAATTGCACTCAAACATGCTTGCACCAAAATAAATCAACACTACTGGGATGATTGGCTTTTCGAAAGGGTCAATTTTGCAGCCACACCGAGTGCTTCTCGTATCCGATCCCCGTGAGTTATGACCATTTATTCAATGGAGCGTACACATACAAACACTAGCACCGAATCAAAGTGTATGTTACTTTATGCTGGTTGGCGCTGTTTGCGTTAACAACTTGTTTCTTTTTTTGATGAGATCAAGATCATTATTTTGAAACCTCTTACTTCGTGTTTCTCTTTAATTATTTAAGAGCTCAGATCATTGCCTCAAATTCTGAGCTGAAGATGTTTTTGATAAATTAAATTTCTATTGAATAAAATCGATTTCATCATCTGTCATGAGCTAGCTGATTCGTCAGTCTTTGAAAGAATTTAGACTTCCCTGTCAGCCTAGAACTGCTTTTGTCGTAAATTAATTAGATTCCTCCAAAAGGGTTTTGACAGACCGAAAAAAATGGGAATTAGTCAGCGCAGATTCTTTGGCCTATCCGGAGTGGAGAGTATTCCTCCCACTGAGGCGTGAGTTGGGTTCTTCACACAACTTCGTATCTGGTTTTTCGTTACACAGTGTAGCATCTTTCCATCAGTTTATAAATATAAAATTTCTGTTTGACTTATTAGTTTACACTCTAGAAGACTGAAATAACTATCAGAACATAAATCCTTACCAGCTTGAGAAGACCGTAGTTCATTAGTTACTTTTCGGTGATGCTACAATGAATTCTCCGTTTCAGTGTACATTCTATCGTGGTGTAGACGTCGCTTTCCGCACCCTTAGGTGGAAAACAAAGCTCAGTGTATAACTTTTCAAATGAAATCTGATCTTTCACGTGTTCGTGGCTTCGACCACCTATTTGTCACAATTTGGTTATCCCCTTTAAGTCCACACAAAATATCGCCTTCCTTCGAACTAAATTTAACTTCGCACTTCTATTTTCCATTTGAAGTGTGAGCTCGATAACCTATTGAATCTCTGTTCAGAGGGCTCAACAACAATTTATCTCTCATATTTCACTTCTCATCGGCTTTTCGGCTCCACAGAGGATTCCCATTAAATATAAGGGTAACTTTGTCGTGGGCGATAATTAAGTACTCTCCATGGGTGTCTTCATTGGCGAGAAATAATTGATCTGCCACGACGCAAATGACATTGTGGTTGAACACTATCTCATCCAAAACACCCCCATATTCTGACTTCGTCATCATTACGACCAGGGCCTACTGCCGTTTTGCTATTAACTGTTAAATTAATTATTCCAGTCCTACTCGTTGACAAAACTGATTCAGTTGCTGTAGAATAGATAAATCACGATATGGTAGCTTACCTTGCTCAAACGTTTGGCACTGCTCACTGCAAATCGACCAATAGTGCATTCATTTTCAATCCTTGTTGCATCTAGCCGTACAGTCATTTCCGGTATTGTCGGAAAGCGAATTCGGCGTCCCTCATTGTTAGCATACTTTGACCACAAAAACCTTGCTACCGCCAGCTACTCTTGCGCTCACTTGACACGCATGCAATTCTTCTGTGGTTAGTATGCAGATTTCCTCCGCAGTTTCTCACACTTAAAGACATGATATAATAATTTGGTAAAGTGGGGTGCTAAGCATCTGTATGCTCTTAACAACGTGCCTTCTTGTTGAATTCAATAAACGCAACAAAGAATTAGATTAATTGCCAGCATTCTGAAATTACTGCAAGCCTAACCAACCTTTCCCAGCAGTCACAAATCAGAAATAAGTCAGCAAATTTCGATCATTTGAACTGTGAGGTCTTTAGTTCCACACATACTATAAACCCACTCAGAAAGTTATTTCAAAGGCGGGAAGGAGAAACTGAAGTAGGTCCTCTTCAAATTACCTCACGAAACAGCAATAACAGCCCTTGAAGCTATTCGTACAGACTCTTCATTCTCCAACCCTATCAGGTACGTTGTTTTAAAAGGCTTAAAACGCAAACTTGTCAATTATAACCACGAACGAAAAAACCACACCGAAACAGCCTTGAGCAACTATTACAATAGCATCTGGCTTACGATGAAGGGAAAATAAATGACCACATTATTATCCTTAGTCGCAGCGATGACACCGTGCTACAAACATCATTTTAAACATAGGAAAAGCTTAGAATAGAATAATTTCCTTTGAAAACATTCTACTGATTTCACACGACTGCTGCTAAGTTTATTTAAGTGGATGGGCATGCCATTAAAAAGTAAAAAAATAAAGTCTACAGAAGAGTTCGTCTAAACACCAAGCGGTATGTCAATCAATTGGGCTTTTGGAGTTGCTTTCATAAAGAATCTGCATCATCTAAGATGCCTCGAGCTTAAATGTTAGTTCAATCCACCAGATGTTGACAGCCACACTGTTTAGGCTGCCAGCCTTCTTACATGTGATGCCCTAAAGGAAGTTCCCAAATTTTACTTGCTTGTAATGGGCGAACTGCTTTTAAGTCCAACGATTTGGCTTCTGCTTAATCTTTTTTCGCTATTGGCTTTTGCTCAGTGATATTGTTTACTCGTTTGTCTGATAGGCAAATATCACAATAGCATACATGCTGATACACATCGCTAAACAAAACGAACAAGTTGTGTTGACGAATTATCCTGTGTGTCGACCGCGTCTTATCATCTTTCCACCAATCTACCCAGCTAATAGTTAAGTAACTTAATACTTTCTGAAATGCGCGTGGCACCATCTGAAAGCCAGGCATCAACGCACCCTAACCAATCACGTTTATAGTAGGAACCACACAACCCACAAATAACCAGACAGCCACTCTTTCCATTACCACTGACCAATTAGAACATTAAGTGAACTAGCTGGCTAAATTAATCACCCCTTAACACAAAAGAAGCGTAGTTGATAGACCTTACTTCTCTCCGACCGTACACCCACGCACGATGGAATGTAACATTAATTCATTAATTAAAGGTTCCTCAACAAAACAAACCTCCAATTAGCCTTAACTTTGGCTGCTAATTATCCCGTGTTTGTAAAAACAATACTTAATTTATTAGATTAACCACTTTGTCAAATCTGATTGTAATTTTCAGAGAGTCTTATACTCTCTGATCACATTTATGGTTGTTTTTATTGATTTAAAAAGGAGAAATTTAAAAAAAGAATGACCAGACATCCTAGGAAAGCACCTTCGTTCATTGGTTGATCTTCAGTTGTTCTAAACCAAATGCTGTCTCAGTAGCTTTCAGCAGCATACCTTTGGCTAGAACTAGAACTGTATTCCTGTCAAGGCTCAGTTTACCGTAGTATCGTTCCCTTTAAAATGAAAGAGTTGCGATGACTGCAACAGAAATGAGGCAAACAAATCTGAATAGAAATTGTCATTTTGTGGTGAAGATGATATGGTAATTGAGTTTATGACAAAACTGTCCTTTAATTTGGCAATTAGAGGCAACTAAATGTGTTATAATACAGACGGTCCTGAACATTTGATTAGGTTTTACTTATAGAAACATCAAACCTCGTGGAAAATTGAACTTTAATTTGGCTTAACCAAAAGTTACAATTTATTTCATATCATTGTATTCCTGACTTAGCTTAGAGTACATGTAAAAGCTTATTTCTCTAATACTTATCAAGAATGCGGCTGGTCTGAGAAATTACGTGTTTTATTTGAATTGGATCAATAAGCGTTAGCTAATGTCAAGGTAGTTTTTAAAAATGTGCACTTATATTGCACGAAATTATGCTAAAGTGGTAGAGCAGTGGGCCAATAGCAGCGCCTACCTGCAGTTCCTCCGGGAACCAGACCAATCACTTCTGGAAAGTAATCAATACAGTTAAATCGAAGCCGGAGTTTGGATGTCCTTGCTTCAGCCTTCACAATTTACTTTTAAATCAATAAAAGGCCGTGCTTTCTTTTTACTTCAATTCTTTTGCTAAAATCTGTTTAACCGTGTTGTATTCATCACTACGTTAACGGCGAGAGGTCCGATCTCCCTAATTTGTTGTAGTCCCCAGCATGTGGTCTTGAACCACGCCGCGGCCACTGAGTTGGATCTGACCCTACTATGCTACCCTGCTACCCGCGACGAGGAATAGGATCGGAAAGGACGTAAGCACAACCATTTACTTCAGAGCTCAATCACGTTGGTGGCGCTGTGTCGAGGCCTAGGTGTTGCGGTGATCCAGGATAATCGTTCACTCCAGTGGGGAGGGAGTTGAGGCTCCGCGGGGCTGACGACAGGCTTTGAAAAGGGAGACGATGTGTCTGAGGCTGGAGTGACCGGATCCACGAGTGTGGATCATCGCAATTCACAACAAATTTGTGGGCGAAGCTATTGAGGTCGCAGCGGTTTTATGCAACAGCTAGGTACGGATATTGATAAACGAGTAGAACAATAGGTTTTAACCCTTTATTTAACAAATTGATGTTTGTAATTTCTAATGATCACGCAAACATTCGACTAATTAGTATTGCTTCACTCACGCACATTAGCTTGCCTCAAAGACTAGAGTTCGTCCAGGACAACTTCCCGTTTTTTTAATTTGCATTCTTGATATGAAGAAAACTGTCCACTCATGGTTCCATCGCGTTTTTGAAACTCCAAGAGACCCACTTTAATAAATCGGACATAACTATGCCAATTGCCTTATTTGTATCAGATACAAGAAGGCCAGAAACGAAATAAGAGCAGCGTCAAATTAATTTTACGCAAACCTTCTATGCATTTGCATGTTATTTTAGCTACATTTACTCGCTGTACATCCGAACATGGCCTAGGTTAATTTATTTACTTCAGTAACTTCACACTCCTTCTGTAGGCCATATTTAGCATGTGCAATTTTCGGCAAATGTTAATTTAATGCCAAAATTCCATTTGAAATTTACATGTTCCAGTTTACTAAAACGTTGATGCAACTAGGTAAGAAAATTAATGTGCCCATAGGTATAAGCAATCTACCCAAAGAAGCTACGGTAAAACAGGAAACTGAATATCATAAGCACAAGACAAATTTCTTAAAGTAGGTTTTTTTAATCATGCTGATACACTGTAACGCATTGTAAACAAAAGTAACGATAAGACCGCATGAGCAATGCCATCTTCAGTTTATGACTGCGTTTTTGCATAGAACTGTTGCACACTAGGACTTACTTCCCAAGTCGACATGCAGTCGCAGACTAACCGGAAGTTTGGAATCATTAGGGGCCGTTCTTCACAAGAAATGGCTTACTGCCATTTTGGGAGCTCGCTTTGGAAAACCGAATGATAATTTGTGGTTTCCTTGTTCTGTTAACTTTTAAATAACTAACTTACTGTCAACTTTGAGTAGGTGATTTCGAATAAGGATTTCGTAGTTTCCCGTTTCTAGGCCCTTTACATCTAAGTGCGGCTTAAATATGTAGTGAACTTTTAACGAACGAGTGTGAATGCAACGTTTACGAGTTTATCGAATGTCAGCGATTACAGTTGACGTGGTAAAATGTAAATAAGTTTAGCTGGTTTGTAAGGTAGTGCTAACGAAGCCTTTCACTTAACTGCATTACTGAATACAGGGTGATATGGATATTCATTTCAGCTAATTTAGCTAAAATTTTTAAAAGCACAAGCTTGACTCTCAAATAAACGCTGCGAACTAGCGTGGACAGGGTAAAAAGTGTCTTTCTGAAATTATGCACTACCATACGTCTGTTGGATTAACACTTAATGCATTAGGAAAGGCGTTATGATCAGGATTCGATTACAACAAATGTGTTCAAGCTACTAGGAAGCGGCGCCGAATTCCAAGTGTTGCACCTTTAAAAAAACTGACCACATGGACGTTTATTCGATGGCGTTGAGTATGCTTTCGTAAATTCCACGTAGGAGGACGACTCAGCCTTCTACTTCAAGCCGGCAGCCAGGCGTTGGGCGCACGGAATGGTTTGCCTTGGACACCCACCTCACTCCACCCCTGTTGGTAGCGTTGAGTCAGCGGAAGGCGTGACCCAACCCACTAGTTTGTGCAAAGGGTGAACGGCTCAAGATGCGGCTAACAGAACACACCACCAAATGTCCACGGCTCTTGCAGCACTTGAAGCAATTCAGTTACTTTTGTGGCGAGCAGCGCATTCGGGAGCGACCATGATTCAATTGATTTACGGGAATGAACTTCACCTAACTATGTTCGTTCAGGGATCGGTGGTTAGCAAGGCTATATAAACGTACTTGTTATCTTGTATACACACACGGCTGCATCAATAAACTAGTTGAGCTACGAGCTGTTCGCTCTTCTGCTCTTTCGGTCGGGCCGTGTCAAGGTAGATTGTCGGCCCTGGTATGGTGTGTAGGTCTGCTTCTGCGTAGAAGCAACCTACTGCCGATCGCAAATTCGGTGATTCAGCGGGTGGTAATAAGAACGTAGAAGTCGGCAGCACCCTGGCGCCAGCACAGGAGGCACCAATCCTTGTGCCAATAACCGTTTCCCACTTCGAAACATGCGGGATTTCGGCACGTAATGCTAAGCTAACTCTGCATCGGAGCCCTTTGCGCGTTTTTCAGCGCCATCTGTGGCTGTGCGTAATAGTGCCTGCAGTTTTTATTTATTTGCCTTTGATGGAACTGCTGTGTGGCAAGTAAATCCCGATGCTCATTAAAGTTATATGCACGGATTCTGATAATTTCATAGAATTGTAGTAAATATTTAAGTTCAGGCTTTAAAAAGTTTACAGTCATGTGGTTGTCGGGATAGCCCTGTGAATGCGGTCCAACAAAAGGATCCTAAAATTAGCTTTACACTTTCGACCTGATCATCTCTGGTTTAGATATATTAGCTCAGCTATTGCGGTGGCTTGGTGAGTAGGCATACCAAGTCTCATATAACAGCAAAAGGTATATTACAGTCAATTTACGGATGCTAAACTTCGATAATTACTTAAATTGTCTTAAATAATATGATTTTTCATAAGTAACAAATCACAAGAAGAAATTGAGGGATAGCATGGTAGTAGTTGGAGTTTAAATACACAGTTGATTTTGACACCATGATATCGGACATTCAGACGACAGCTTAAATAAGAACGCTCATATTCGGAACCAGATTAGAGAAAAGTCGATTCGCCGGCAATTTAGCAAAGGTGAATTCAAGACTTGACATTTAAGTAGGGAAAGAACGACCGTAAAATACCGAGCATCGTGCGGCAAATAAAGTACTAGAGGGAGCGATGAAGAAGACAATGAGGTTTGAGTGGGAGCTGGCCATCAAAATTCATGTTTATCAAGAAATCAAAATTTAAAAGGTTAGCAGTAGCTATACCGTTTGTAAAACACCAAATATCACCGTAGAAAGGAATTCGCCACGAGGACGAGGTAGGGTTAAGTAAACTGATAAATCCTCCATCAAACAGTTATGATGTGTGGGCGAAGGTGTTCCAAACAGACACGTGCGTCTAAGTGCTGCCTGCTTTGTGGACCGAGAAGCCACCAAGTCAGGTAAGTCACAGAACTGTGGATTGGGTGACGGCAGCCACAACAGTGAGCGATTTGTCCGTATTAATACGTTATTTTGCAAAAAAAGCAAGTGGTATGCCACGTTGGCTAAGGGCGAGGGTACTTCAACACAATGCACCCTATCCATAAATCGAGTCGCCAGCGTAGTCGGTAGCCATGCACAACGTTTAGACTGCAACCACATGGCGAAACGGTGAGAAATCTGACAGCAGCGCCTTGTGCCCTGCGGTGAAAGATTGTGCTACTGCAAGCTGCCCACTTGTAACGGAAGTCTTAGTCAACGGCGCAACGCAAGGATTGCACTGCTACCAGTACAAATCTCTGACTAAAGCATACTAGTGCATCCACCTATCCACTTTGACTGCCACAAATGACTGCTGCTTTGTGAACTGATCTTTTCTCTGAACGTGACAGTCGATGAAATGCCGATCGCTACTTCCACAACCAAGTCAACCCAAGGTGAGTGAAGAGGGTGCGCGATTTCACTGTCACATGCCACTAATCACACTGGCAATGCATTTAATGGAACACCGAAAAACAGCCCTAAATGAGTGGATATACACGGACTACTTACGTATTAACTAAGAAAATAGTCCCCAATCTACGGCTTCAGCGTATTATACTTCCAATGATGGCTTTGATTGTCTTTGGTGATCGATTTGCGTGGTTCTACCGGGACCTGGGCAAACTAGACATTCAAACACCAAAGTTTATGGTAATGTTGATGCACAATTTAACACAAATCACATTTGCGCCTCAACTGGTTGGTAATTATTGTCGGCGAGTTTGTTGCAAAATGGAATTCACAAGGGCGAATCTTCGAAATCAAAGCTTTTAAGTAACCTAGATGAGGGAGAACTGCCGAAGATGCATCAGCTTTAAGGTGACGCTGCAGTTGCTTCGCACAGCAGTGGCCAGTGACCGCGTTGGTTGCTACCCGAGCGGCCTTGACCCTAATGTGAGCTACTGCTGGAATTTCTAAATGTTAGTCACGGCCCCACACTACTGATTTCAGGATTACGGACATACAACACTGTCATCTGGCTTGACGCCGTGGGAAATAAGCGGTCAAAGAACACGGTAGTCACGATTGCCAACGCCATTTATAATTCAGGTCCCAGCTGAACAATCTTTAACTGCCGTAGTCAAAATCTTCCCACCCTACCAACACATTTTGCGGGACTTATAACTCAGTCTGCATTCAGGGCCGCTGCAGGACGCATGCAAGCCACTCTTGCATGTTGCTCGCGGGTCTTGGAAGGAAGTGGTGAGTGGTTTCGCGTTATTTAAGTTGATAACAGGGGTCAACAGTAGGAGAACGCTGATTGGAGAGCTCGGTTGGCATCTGGTCCTTTCATCAAAGAAACATGGTAAACACAAAGCGCCCTTTGGACAAACTACCACAAACTGGGTATATTTGCGTTGGCTGAAACCTTGTGGCCAGGGCTGCGTTATTCGCAGGACTGATAGCCAAGTACAAACATATCGTGAACAATGAAACGCAAACAAAAACAGGTAAAATGCTTTATACAAACTGTTCTGAATGACGAGGTCTGATCAACTCGGAGTCTGGAAACTACCCTGGCGGTTATGAAGCATTGGTCGGCAACGCAAGCACTAGGGCCCTTTTTCAAATTAGTGAAAACGGCAAACTACGGATTACTTAAGACGCATGACGAGCACGAATGCGATTTTGTTAAGACGCATTACGCGCATGAATATGATTTTGTTGTACAATGCATCACCTACGACGGAAGTTTTTCTCTCTTCTCAACTACACATATGACTGTTTTATGAATATGCTTTAGAATAATCAATGAACTTACGCCGATAACAAATGAAATGTTACGACCTGAGTCGATTAACGAATTTAAAAAGACAACAGTGTACACTGAGATAATGGTTTATTCTGTCCTATAAAAATTATATACAAACGGGTGGGAAGTATACTTAAGGGGGCATACGGAGAGCTCCGTCTAGCCGAATAGTAGTGCCGTTGAGCATCCTATTTTCGATGACAGAGCAGACGAGGTGAGCAAACTCTTCAGGACGACCCAATCGGCTAGGGAAGGGGACGCACTTCACAAGGTGACTGACAACTCCCTTGGGAAGCGCTTCGACCATCGGGGTATCGAAGAGGCCTGAAGTGAGGAGACGTGGTAGGAGTTATAAATGGATCAGCCGACCCCCAGCGTCCAATCGGAATGACACGCCGTTAAGCATGGTGTCAGTCAAACAGGTAATGACAGCGTCCGCGAATTCGTGCACACGACCCTGTCGATTAATCGCCAGTTGTATGTCGTTTATATAATTCAGAACATCTGGTTGGACTTGACGATCGCCAAATAACAGGGTGCTCTCAAAAAGCCCTAAATCAGAGAGAGATTTGATCGAGACTTCTCTTACGTAGTAACCAAGGATCATTTACGTTCCTACCCCAATGAACGAGGAACCGGTTTGGGTTCAAAACTCGGCCATACGTTCGTGACGGGCTTATAATCGCGTTGCTTTGCTAAATTTTTCCAGAAGTACATTTTAACAGCTGAATAACTTGGTGACAACTGTGGGGGATTTATCGGAAAACCGCTCTAAATTGGTCAAATGAATGGCAGTGTGACCCCCATACTCCAGTCTCACTAAAAGAAATTACTATACGCCGAAAACCATGTATAGAAATTCCGCAAACGAAAGTGGCAAGCCATTACAGCCTTTCAGACGCTTGAAAAGATTGCCTCTTGTGGGCACTCTAGGGACTTTGACCACAGTTGTAGTCGGAACAATGGGTTCAGATATTCTTGGCAATTTATTGACAGTTTCTGTTAGGCAAAAAGGCAACAAAAACTAGCAACCAATAATTCAAAATAATAATGATGAGAGAGTGTGAGTTGTAACAGTAAATACTCAAGAGATACTTGTTTGGATCTACCATAGACGAAAACAGCAGACATCCCTGCGGATTAAATTAGGAAAACAACATGTTTAGGTGATTAGACATGACGTAAATCTAGGGCTGGAGGGCCTCTACGCTGCAGTTCCATATCAGCAGAATTAAATTATTAAGTAGTTCACCGGTCGGATGGAACCTCATGTAACATTTGTCCATATATTCAAGTTCTTTTTGGAAGGCGTGAACAAATGTTGGTCATATTTAAAAGATAGCTTACACACCTGGTGCTATGGCTACACAGCGAATTGCGTGGCGAGAAAGGTCACGAGCGATCGGAAGTGTCATGCTAACGACTGCCCCTTTGCTGGCGGAATAAGCAGCCTGCCCAACCTGACCATCAAAAGCTGCTACACTGGCTGTGTTAACAATCACACCACGTTGCCCATCTTCATCAGGTTCGTTCTTGGCCATCGCCAGGGAAGCCAGTCGAATAACATTGAAGGTTCCAATGGTATTTACCTACAAATAAGTTTTCATGAGAAAAAGAGAAAACGAAATAAGTAAAAAATAAAAAAACTTACTTTTATTACACGTTCGAATTCTCCCAGATCATGGGGATCTTTGGTGGAGTTTGCAATTGTTTTTCTAGTGATCCCAACGCCAGCACAATTAACAACGCAGTTTATGTAAGAGAATTTTGACTTAGCTAGGTCAACCGCCATTCGCACGGACTTCTCGCAGGTAACCTTTAGTAAATGTGAGATATATTGAGTTACGTACGTCAGCTTCGGAAAATAGAACATCGCCACAAAGGTGCTCCAATTCGGGGGACTTTTTAATATCACAAACCAACACTTTGCAGCCATGCTCAAGAAGTTTCTTTACTGTGGCGAAACCAAGGCCTGACGAACCCCCTGTTACTAGCGCTGAAACGTTCTACAAAACTGCTTGTAAATTCTCTTCTTACTTTAAGTGAAAATACGCAAGACGACAACCTCATTCTGCTGTGGTGCAGTGTGTGGTGTGGCGTCGGATTAGGGCGCAGACATGTTGGACCACCTAGCCTCAGCCAATTCCGTGTCTCTCTGCGTTCCAATGGCGTGCAAGAAAGATAAGCAGCCAACCAGAGAAAGACACAACTGTGTTGCAGTATATAATGAGCGGCGTGGCCAGCGTGGTGGGCTCGGATGTAAGGCCCCTGACGGGTGGCTCTGGCTTCTGATTGGTCAATAAAGCCTGTTCTGTTGTACCAGTCTTTTACCTATTAGGGCTCGGGT